CCAGGCTCACGCACATCGCGGGATCAGAGCGCATGCTCAGCATGGCACAGCATGGGCAGCTTCAGGATGCCGGACTGAGGGCACTGCAGGCTCGTTCGAGCCACCCCATCCTTCAGTATACCTCTCCCTCTGGCAGCATCTTCATGGCCTTTTATGCCCCTCCTCTCCAATTCCAGATTTCTTTAGAAGATATCACGACTCGTGCTGCCAGTCTTCGAGCCATGCCTCTACGCGGCTCGACGGCTACTGTTGTTTCTGCAGGTGATCGTGCCCAGGATAGACTCATCAGTACAGCGTTGCAGCATGGTGGCGATGATGATAGGATCTCCAACTCCCAGTCATGAGGTGGACTGTGGGGGACTTTCGGGTGTGGAGTTCATTTTCCTATCTGAGCCCCTCGGTGCCGTCTCATTTCATACACATACATGTTGATTGCGTTGCTTCACTTACTCTTTGAGGGGTTCACTCGTCGCCTCTCAGTGCTTTGCAGGACAGATGGTGCCTCGGCGGGGCCCCAAGGTTTCCCCATCAGGGGTCCCCGCATGTGGCCAGTGGAATCCCCCTGCAGAGCGACCGACTACCGATGTCAACAGACAGCGGACGCAGATCCTCTTGCAGTACAAGGCCGTTCTTCTTTTTTGCACTGTGTAGAGAGGTCACAAGCACATGGGTCGCAAGCGTGTCTTATCTTATCCTCCTCCTCCTCCTCCTCCTCCTCCTCCTCCTCCTCCTCCTCCTCCCTCCTCCTCCTCCTCCTCCTCCTCCTCCTCCTCCTCCTCCTCCTCCTCTCTCCTCATCCCCTCCTCCTCCTCCTCCTCCTCTTCCTCCTCTCCTCTCCTCCCCTCCTCCTCCTCCTCCTCCTCCTCCTCCTCCTCCTCCTCCTACCTTCCTTCCACCCCTCCACACTCCTTAGTCCTGGTCCTTTTCAGCCTCGTCCTCCTCCTCATCCTCCTCCTCCTCCTCCTCATCCTCCTCCTCCTCCTCCCCTCCTCCTCCTCACGTCCTCCTCCTCCTCCTCCTCCTCCTCCTCCTCCTCCTCCTCCTCCTCCTCCTCCCTCCTCCTCCTCCTCCCTCCTCCTCCTCCTCCTCCTCCTCCTCCTCCTCCTCCTCCTATTCCTCCTCCTCCATTCCTTTCCCTTATAATTAATTTCCCCCTGTCGCACCCCGAAGCTAGCTTTTAGGGCGGGCCGGGCGTTTCGCCTGAGACTTCCTCACCACTTATGAATCTGAGGGTGGGTGGTTTGCAAAATGTACGTTTCGCCTTAGCGCCGCACCCATTCGTTTTAAAAATGTGGAGGAACTTCACGGATTGAGGACAACCCGTTCTGAAAATGTGGCTATCGCCTTAGAGCCACGCACACTCGCTCTAAAAGTCTGCAAGAATCACGGATTGAGGATAACCCGTTTTCGAAATGTAGCTTTCGCATTAGCGCCGCGCACATTCGTTTTAAAGATTTGCGAGGCTTCACGGATTGAGGGCGGCTCCTTTTCAAAATGTGGCTCTCGCCTTTGCGCCGCGCACATTCGTTCATTTAATTTACAAGAGTTTCCCGGATTCCCACGATCAACGCACCAGAAATGGCTTTTTGGAAGGATTCAGGATTTTGCGGGCGCAACGGTTATGTTGATTCGCCGTGCTGAAATCCCAAAAATGGCGTTCTGGAGCGATCCAAGGTCGTGAAGACGCAACGGTCAGGTTGATCCGTGGCGTTGGAATCCCCAGAACAATGTTTTTCCCTGCTTCCGGGTCTTCAAAAGGTGGTTGTCTTCCAACAAGGCAGATCCCCCAATGGAAATGAATCATTGTACGGGGCCTATGAAGAGGGGGCTTGGAGGGAAGGTGTAGTCCAACATCGTTGATGACTCTTGGGTTTACACCGCCCCTCCCCCTCCTCCTTCCCCCCTCTTCGCCCCCCCTCCCACGCGGGCCCGGAATTGGCCCCAACGCGTCGTCCAGGCCAGTCTCCCTCGCTGTTTGACTACGCGCGTCTCTTCATCTCCCCCCGTCAGCTCTCATGGACATCGTTTCTAGATGGGCTGGCGGGGATTCTTTCGTCGCATCCGCAGGCGAAGGCGCTGGCGGCGTCACAGGTCGGCTCGGGCTACGAGCAGAACTACTTGCCTAGCGCGCGCGAAGGCAACTCCAATCCTACCGCTGGGGGACGCCGGGCCGCGCCGAGACTGGCGGGGGTACTATTTTGGTTCGCGAGCGCAAGCGGAGGAGCCGCGCGCCGTCCATAAGATCCAACAAAGACCTAAAAAGCAGCGGCCTGGAGCGGGGCAAGGCGCGCGCAGCAAGAAACCGAGAAAAGGGAACAGTGGCCAGGCCCCCGTGCCGAAGAGGGACCCTCAGCAAGCTTGTCCTCGGCGAGCTCGTCCCCAGCGACCTTCACCTCGACGAACGCGTCCTCACCAGACTTGTCCTCGGCTACGAGTCGGCGCGGGCCGAATGTGAACCACCAACGGCGTCGTCGAGCACGAGGCCTGTGGCCACACCACGTGGGCGAGCCTCACGAAGGAGCCCTCTGAAATCCTACATCAACCAGCGATGCGTCCGTCCACTCAGCCGACGTACCACGGAGCATAACCAACGCGCGGGACGAGCGAAGGGCGACGGGTGCAAGCCGAGGTTGCACCGTGCTGTCAACAACACCTCCCGAGGAAGACAATCGCAGGGAGATGGCCCTTGTGTTTGCTGGCCCTGGTCCCAATATCCCTGGGTAGCGCCTGGGGCCACGTAGACTGGTGGGGGTACTTTTGTTGGTCAACGGCCACGTGAAGCGGGTCAAAAGGCGTCCAAACTCTAGCCGGGCCACGACTAGGCAACGGAAAGGCGGAAAGCGGAAAAGCAAGACAGGCGCAACAGGAAATCAGCTCAGAAGGGCGATAAGAACTGGTAGACCCATTCCAGGCGGCGTCCGGAAATCCCGGTGGCTACAAGCGAGTAGACGCAACCAAAATGGCGCGGTGGCGCGACCAAAACCACGTAGTCGATCACTCGGTGTGAGTCAGTCAGACGGCAACGTCAGAGACGAACGAGACCGACAAGCACCCCCAAATGACATCCTGAAGTGGACGAACACAAATGTCGAAATATCGTGTCAGCGCACTGGTGGGGGTACGGGTACTTTTTCCGTCGCAGCCGCAGGCGCGCGCGCCAGCAGCGTCAAGGGTCGGGCGGGCTACGCGCGAACCTAATTGCATAACGCGCCGATTAACCGGCGGCCTAAGCAGCACCTAAGCTGACCGGACAGCGCGAGGTGATACGGGCTGCAGCTACCCTCTCTGGGCCTCCTTGGGGGTCCTTGTGGGGTTCCTGTGGGCCATCTTGGGGCCCTCTTGGGCCGTCTCGGGGGGCTCGGGCCGTGTTGGGGCCCTCTCGGAGCCCTCTGGAGCCCTCTCGGGGACCTCCTGTGGCCCTCTTGGGGATCTCTTGGGAACCTCTTGGGTGCCTCAGGGGCTTCTCTCGGACCCTCTTGGAGCTCTCTTGGGCCGTTTCAGAACCCTCTTTGGCCATCTTGGGGCCGTCTTTTTTTTTTTTTTTTGTTCCCCCGGGACGGCGCACGCAGCCTCGAGAGCGGCAGCTGAACTCCTGCAGGGGGTGGCCAGCCGGTCGGAGCGATCCTGAGCCCCGATTGGCGGCGAAAGCGGACTCCAGCGGAAGCCCGCAGTTGGAAGACCCCCGCCGCAGTGGCAAAAAAACTCACACTGTATACGTAGTGGCACAAACAAAACCCGCGCACAGGGGCGGGGGTGAAAGGGATGGCCCTCCGAGAGCACGCGGGCGCTCGCGGCGGGGATCGGTGGCTTCCGGAAGGACGTCCCCGAAGGCACGAAGACCTCCAGGAACCCCTCGGCGTTCTTCGGAAGCCAGCCCATTCTCGTCGCCACCCCCACTCCCCCTGCGCGCCACGGAAAAAACCGGTGGCCAGACCGGCGCGGGAAATGGAGGAGCTCCTGCACCTCTCGCTACAGCAACCCACTCCTTCATGCCCTAGCACGTCATAACAAAGAACAGCGAACGTCTTGGAAATCTCCCGAGACGTCTTGGGGCTTTCTTGTACCATCTTAAACAAAAAGTTGGAAAATCCGGCAACGCAGTCCGAGAACAACGGCTGCCAGCAGTTCAGCACCGCGGCTGGCATACAAGCCCATGTGTCTGGCACAACGTCGAGCTGCACAGCCCAGCAACGCGGGTGGTCGGCAGACAAACTGCCCAGACCGTCAGGATCCCTCCAGTACGGAACCCAATGCTCCAAAGACCATTCGTCCGGCCCGACTGTCCACACCCGCCCACGGTCGCCCCTCCAACTGGACCTTGTGGCTCGACCCTCCGGGCCGGGGGCCGAGCCTGCGGCGGAACTGAGGGCGAAGCAGCTTCCAGAAAGACTTGCCTGGCAGTCGTCCCACCGATCGAGAAAATTAGAGATGCCCGCGCCATCGCCGCGCCATTGCGATCCGACACATATATACAGAAACAAGCGAGCAAACCGCTCATCTACGGAAGCAAGCGAGCAAACCGCTGTGGGGCGCCCCTCGTGAGCTGGGCCCTGCTGGGCAGGTCGACCGTCAGAAAGCCCGGGGGTAGACCAGAGCCCCGTGAGCCAGATTAACTGACGAAAGATGGGGAGCGCCCCTCGTGAGCCGGGCCCCGCTGTGACGGTCAGCCGACAGCTCCCCATCGCTCGGACGTCCATTCCCTGCGTTTTTTTTTTGGTTTCGTGCGTGGCTGTTTCGCCAAATGATCAAGGATGCTCCTGAATAATCCCCGCCGGAGAAAAAATGCACACGTCCGAGCGATGCCAAGACAGAGTGTCCGGGCGTAGGTTTACCCAGAAGCCTCGTGGGCCAGGCCCGCTGACGATGGGGAGCGCCCCCTCGTGAGCACGGGGCCCTGCGGTGCCGGTCAACCGACAAGCCTGGGCCTATAGGCTAACCCAGACCTCTTCATCATCCCCCTCCTCCTCCTCCACCTCCACCTCCACCTCCTCCTCCTCCTTCCCTGGTTCACCATCAGTGGCAGAAGCATCAATGCCAACGACACAACCGCCACCATCACCAGCAGCACCACCATCACTGGCATGAGCCGACGGGGCAAAATCCGCGCCCTGGTGTTGAAACGCGGCAGAACTCTGCCCGTGCCAAGTGGGCTCGCCCTCTTCGAGCGGCTCGGGCAACGCCCGAATTTTGACGTGCGCGTCTTACTCGAAGGCCTGAAGAGGAGGAGGAGGACGACGAGGAAATGGGAGAGGAGGAGGAGGAGGCAAGAGAACGGTGTACGAGACGAGGCCTGGTCTGGAGGGTGAGCCTGTTAAATGTCGGCTGGGCTGGACCCAAGGTGAACATTGAAGCAAACTCTTCCAGCACGAGCTGCCATACATCAAATTAGGGGACCCTTCGGTTCAGCCATCCATGGCTGGTCAAGCGAGGGCTTGACAGGAAGAGATGCATCTGACGCCGCCGTCTGGCCGAGAGCGATGACAACGACAACTAAAAAACGCGTCGTGGGCCACAACGAACAGAGAAAGGACCGGCTGGGGTGGTGGCTGGGCTGGTTGCCCCCGTACCCTCAGCTGGAGCACCAACAACCTTCAACAGACAAGCGAACTAACAACAGATATCAATATACATATATCTGAAGAATACATCTTCTACGAAATACATGATTTGGGCCTCCTGGAAGAATCTTGGAGAGCCCCCTGGAGCACTATCGGGGCGTCCTAGAGACAATGTTGGCCACTGGAGGCGCCGAATGAGCCGTGTGAAACGTCTGGAGGCCGTCTTGGGACGACTCGAGGCCGCCGTGGATCGCCTTGACGGCTGTCGGAGCGCCCTCGGCGTCGATTTGGGGCTCCCGATGTGCGCGGAGAGCCCGGGACCACCCATGTGGTCGGGGTTCTGGCCTGGGAGCCCCCCGCCTTGGACTCCGTTGTATGTACGAGCGCCGCTGGATGCGACAGCCAGCCGCTGCAAGCTGTCCTCATAGTGCAGATGGACTGCTTGCCCGCACATGCGGGCATGGAGGTATATATATAGAGAGAGAGAGGGAGACAATGTCACGGTGGCGAACAGGCTAAACCTCTGCAACTCGCACGGCCAATTCGCCGCGTTGGCTTGAAAGCGTTCCCACGTAGCTCTGGCGGCTTGTGGACGAGTCGCCTTCGCAACTGGGAAGCGTGCCTGCTCGGCTCATGCGATTTGTGGGCCGGGCTCCTTCGTAGTCTGGAGGCCTGCTGGACAGGGTCGAGCCGGCGAGACCCGAAGGCCTGCTGAACGAGCGCGCGAGGTCCGAAGGCCTGCTGGATAGACTCGAGCGCGAGTCCCGGACCAGATCTTGTTCGAGTTTGCCGTACATCTCCGCAAGTTCATGCTGAGAATTCTGGAGCTCTTCAGAAAACGGCTGATGCCTGGCACAAGGATTGCGGAGATCCCAGTCGCCTATGAAGAAGCGAACCATTGCAGGGCCTGCAAGAGGCATGCGAGCGACGTTGGCAGGCCCTGCCAAAGTGAGAACCATCACAAATGGCCCTACGACCAGCGACATGGTGAACAGGAAGGCGCAAGTGTTGACAGCCCTTAACGCTAGGCAAATGAGCAAGGTGTCAAGAGACATCACTGCAAACGCCTTGCGGTCCTTACTCAACACGAACGTGAACAAGACTGACCAAATCAATCCTTGCAAAATACAAATGTAGGCCGATATGCCGTTATCGAGAATACAAACGTTTGCCCAAAGCGAATGAGCAGGAAACCAAACCCAGACGACACCGGCATGCATGACTATCGAAGCAAAATACCAATTTGTAACATTACCAAGTTTGCCGACTCGCTGCGCCGTGTCCCGCAAGTGCCTGGTGGATAGACCTGTGCGAATCAGGCATTCCACGCTTTGGTCTACAGCGAGCTCTTGGGATCCCTCCAGTAGTTCGGCGCGAATCCGTTGGCCGTCTTCATTCACAGAACACCGTGCGTCACGAACGTGGCCCGTGTAGCCAAGGCACAGGCTCACTTTCTCTCGAACAGCAATGACCGCCCATAAACGGTCGGCTTCCATGCAAAGGCCAAATGCACAGAGAAGCAGGGCACCGGCCCAATTCACGAGGTGCATGAGGTCCATTTGCAATACGACCCCCAAGCTGATGCCAGCAAACAGCACCACCACGCAACAAGAACGACGGCAAGCAGTACACGATGGTGTTTTGCGCATCATGTTGTAGCGTATCTTGGTAACAAACATTGCCAAAATACACAGGTTCCTGAAGGGCACCACAAGGTGGTCGAAGGCGCAAAAGACAAGGATAATGCAGCACGCAGCGCCGATGCTTAGCCCAACGAAGCATTCACCCAAGCGAGATACGACGCGAGGCCAGAAATTATGAACTGGACTTGCCGCGCAGAAGATTTGCTTGTCCAAGGTATATGCCAAGTGCGCCTCGTAAACGCACCATACCCTGCTATATATACTTCCTTTGCGGTTGGGCACGACCATCATGTCCGTTGCCGAACGTAACGCGTGGGCAAACGGGGAATCGGTTGGGCTCGATACGAGATGCGCAATGTCAAGGTTCTGCGGATTGGACAGAAAACATATGTACGCATGACTTTTCCCAGCAGGCCACGAATACATGACTTTATCGATGAGCTCATAGATGCCTTCTTGCCAGCTGTGCGTGATGAAAAGGTCGCACGCGAGGCCATCTGGGTGAAGCATGAGAGCCCAACTCGGATTCCCTGCGCGGGCAGTGACGGGTTTGATGTATTGATCGGTGACGCTGTAGACGCATGGTCCTATCACATTCTCTGTCGGATCGAACATGTCTGTTTCCGTGGGCTTGATGCGTCCATCCAAGACTGCCCGCCGCACCAATCTCCTGAACTGCTCCAGATCCGTCCGTGTGACGCACCAACGATGTGCGGAGATGATGTTATGCAGTCGGCTCCCATCTAGCACGTTGGTCGGATTATCCACGTCCTCATCCTCAGCTGTTGTCTTTGCCGGCCTGTCGACATACCAATAGCATAACCGACCTCCTACCCAGAACACCGCCCCCATGGCGAATGCCATTACAGCGAGAACGCAAGAAACCATCATATGCGTGCTGCTGTAATTTCCGCAAACATCTCTATCAAACGTAAAACGGGCCGGACTGCTGAAATTGTACAGGTCGCCTTCCGTGCAGCATGTGAACTGGAAGAACCGCGGTGAGAAAGCTGAAATATGCGAAGGTTTGTCAATAACGCGCGGAACGCCCTTCTCGCACGAGCACGGCTGCGTTTCTGTTCCAGCCAGACAGTCTCCGAAAAAATCATTGCACCACTGCTTGTTGCAAGTGACGCCCGCCTCGGTTGACGAAAGAGCAGGCTGAAACACAAAACAACCAAGGAAGCACAAGTATCGTAAGACCAACATTGTCACAATTTGCTTGCTTTTCCAACCATGGCGATGTGACCCACTAGGTCAGACAACGCGCAATCGATGCGCGAGCCGCAAATGTTGCGCTGGCTACTTGGCCTGTACCTGAGCCCAAATGGCTTGAGCCAAAATGGCTACGGACCATCTTGGGGCCGTCTTGGGAGCCTCTTGTGCCGTCTTGGGGCGATCCTAGGGGGCTCGTAGGCCGTCGTGGAAACTGGTAAAACCAAAGAAGCGGGTACACGAAAATGCACGATGCCCTCAGGGGATGCGACGAAATGTGCCTCTCGGGCGTCCTTTCTGGAGGACTCGTGGAGCGTCTTGAGGGCTTATTTGGCGGTTTTGAGGCCATCGTGGGCCTTTTGTGGACGCTCTTAGGCTGTCTTAGGGTTAGGGTCCTCTTGGGCCTCCCTGATGCCGCCTTAGAAATATCTCGGGCGCTCTTAAGGCTGCCGTGGGCCGTCTTGGGACCCTCTGAGGCGCTCTTGGAGCTAACTGGGGCAATATGGGGCCGAGCATGGCCGAAAAGTAGGCGATTTGATCTGGGGGTCCCGAGGCCAACCCCCCCACTCACTCTCCCTTGTTACTTCACCCCGGCTAGTGAATCGCGACGCTACGCGCGCTTTCCGTCATCCGCCGCCCCCATGTTGCGTGCAAGCAGTGCTGTTGGCGTGCCGAGTGCCAACCGGCTGAACCATTCCAACAGGTTCCCAGCGGGGTACCATCGGTCGATCCCTGCACCTACATGTCCTGGTCCAAGGTGGCTTCAAAGTGTCTCTCAGACTGTCCCTGAGATGGCACACTATGGCCTCCAAGATTGCCCCCAGACGCCTCCAGGACGGCCAAGATAGCCCCAAGAGGGCCCAACATGGCCCCAATGTGCCTCCAAGACGGCTCACGGTGGAGCCAAGAGAGCTTAAGATGGTCACAAGACGGCCCAAGAGGCCCCATGGTACGCTCCAAGTTGCTCCAGCAGGACCTCCAGGAGACCACAAGCAGTTGTTAGTTTGCAATGGGTAGGTCAATGGTTTTTGGGTGACCCAAGAGGGGGTCCAGCTGAAAGGGGGTGGTACAACAGATTTCAGGCAATTGGTTTGGAAATGTATTGCGCCAGAGAATTGTACTACATTGTAGTGAAAGCCATATATTGCACGAAAAAAATCCAGCAAAACATCTGCGCCCCAGAATGTATTGCACACCACACATGCAGTGCAGCCCCACAAATCTATGGCCGTAAATAGATTGCACCACCCCACTGTCGCTGGACCCCCTTTGGGGTCCACCCGATGGTTGTACTGTGCTCGCCATGTCGGACTTCCGACAGCTCCAAGATGGCCCCAAGACGGCCCCAGAAACCCCCCAGAGGGCCCCAAGACGGGCACAGAGTTTTTCACAGTGCACCGCTGACGAGCAGGCTCCAAGGGCAAAGAGATTGCCTGGGACTGGAGGCCAGGGCAGAAAATTTACATATCAGGCCACGCACACGAGCCTCCGCGACAGCACCGACCGAAGAGCCGCAGGAGGGCACGAGCCTCCGCGGCACTCAAAACTCGGCATCCCCAACGGCCCAAGAGGCCCCCAGAACTG